AGGTGGGGCAGCCCAGGTAGGTGCTAGGCTGCCGCTGGCTTCTTGGGCCAGCTTCTGGGCAGACCATCCTGCTTCACGGCACAGCCTGAAGGGCATGAGCTGAGGATAAGGCTTCCAGGTTGGCGATCGGAGCAGCCACTGCTCAAGTTGAATTGGCCCAGCCGATAGGGGAGACTGGGCCAGAGAGGGTGGGTCCCCATTAAAGTCCGGGTGTGGGGGAAACATTAGCCATGACTCCTGAGGCATGGAGGGGCAGGTGGAGTGTGGTCAGGAGGAGGAGCGCATGTGGCCCTCCCAGGACCTCTCCAGCCACCTCAGTCCACCCTGAGCCCCAGCCCTGCTCAATGGGTGTGTGGGGAGCACCTTCCCTTCTGCAGAGGAGCCGAGCTTTCCTACCCTAGTCTCAGGAGGAAGGGGCCAGCCTAGGTCCTGGGGCAAGTGCCACCTGTCACAGAGCCCCACAGTCATCTTGGGATCTCCCAGCATCACCTGATGAGCAAGGACTGACTGGGGAGGGGTCCCCAGAAACACCCAGGCATCCCGGTCTTCTGGGATCCTCAGCCCCAAGTCCCTAGGGCAAGCTGGGGAGTGTGCCTGTCCTCGCCTCTGGCAGCAGCAATGGCAGGGCTTGCAGGCGGCAGCATGGGAACCTGCTGCTGCTCAGATCCCAGGCTAGCACACACGGACTGCTGAGCCAGAGGGCCCGATAAAGACACGGGGGTTGAAAGAAAACCACCCGAGTGGAACGATGGCAGCACCCCGACATGCCCCACCACTGCCACATTTCCTGATCCCAGCTGTGGGTGCAGAGGAAGTGGACCTGGGGACATACCCAGGCCTGAAACGGGCACCCAGCTTTGGGGGAGAGGGAGGCGGTTAGAGGTCAGGAGTCGTGTGGTCAGGCAAGAGTAGGAGGCTGGGTGGACAAGTGTCCTCCACCTGGTCACGGGGGTCCTCCCCTATCATCTCCATGTAAAAGACTGAGCAGGGGCAGGCAGCAGCTGAGACAGTCCTAGATGCTCCCACCTCACCTCACACCCCTCCATCTGGGCACGGGGCTGGGCTGGATGCAAGGCTGGGGCTGGGGCAGGGCAGGGACCACAGCAGAGCTATTTTTGCTTATGTTGCTGCAGCTGCCGCAGCAAGCATCAATCATTGATGCTGTGGGCATCCCTGCCTGTGGAGGGTGGAGGCGAGCAGTGCCAGTCAGGCCATGGGGGCAGGGCAGCGGCTCTGCTGATGCATCAGGGCCTGGGGAGCCTCGGTTTCTCACCCAGGCCCCGCCAGGGCTTACACCCCAGGCCCTGGCACCCAGCCTCAGGAAGGTTGTGGGCAACCAGTGGGCTGGGCCGGTGTCCCCATCTCGGTGGTCCAGGGAAGAGGTGGAGGCTGCGTGAATGCGACGCCTTCTCCCGGGGGTGGCACCTGCAGCAGGTGTGGGGCCTTGTATGTGCCAGGGGCGGCTGTGAGTTGGGCTTGGGCCTGGTGAAGCTGTGGGTGGGGGCATGAATTCCTGAGTCCAGGCCTACTTCTGTGGTCCTCCCTAGCCAGGCGTCTGTCCCCAGAGGAGCACATGGGGAGGAGACTGGAGCTGGGTGTGCTCACAGGAGCGCAGGCTTCAGCTGGTGGGGAAGGACTGGGATGGGGGCTGGTAGCCCCTCTCACCTTCTCCCATGCTCCCACAGCTGTGACCCTGGAGCCCCGTTTCAGCTGCTGAGGCCCTGGTGTGCGGGTGGAGGGATTCTGGCTGGCCCCTGGGGAGCCAGTCCCCAGCCACACATAGCCGCAGCCTGCCCGTTTGTGGGGATACACTGCCCAAGTTGCAGGCCCTCCCAGAGGCATCTGGAGTGAGATAGAGCCCTCAGGACCCCAAGTTCCCTGAGGTGGGGAAGCTCTCTGGACAGACACCCCAAGGTGTCTTACTCAGGACACTCTCAGCTTAACCCTCAAGCTAGGAGAAGACCCCCAGAAGGAGGGTGGGAGGGGCAGTCCCCAGCTCCCCTGACAGTCACAGCCAGACTGCAGCCCCAGCACTCAGGGCGGGGCAGAGCCAGAGGCCACTGCCGAGAGTCACCAGCCCTCTGTCTCAGAGTGGGCAGGAGAAGGGAGGAACGGCCTCCGGGTGGAGCAGGCCCTGCCCAGACCCCATCCTGAATTCTGGGCCCTGAATTCTGAATTCCAGACCCCATCCTGAATTCTGGGGCCACAGGGGAGCACGGCCCAGCGGCGCGTGTGTGTCTGTGCCCACCTTGGAAGTGGGCAGCCCCATGCAGGGCGGAGGCGAAGTTCCTGGACCCGGGAAGCTGTGATTGGCTCTGGGATCATTTCTCAGCCAGGGGTGGGCAGGCCCAGTGTTCACAGCTAGGTAAAGGTCTCTGCCACCCCAGGCTGAGGGGCAGGACCAGGGCAAAGTCCTCCCGAGTGTGGGGTCCCCACACTCCCGTGACGCCCCGCTGAACTTGTGCTCTCACTTGGTCCCCACCAAGATGGCCTGGAGGGCTCTCTCGTCTTGCTGAAGGAAAACAGAGGCAGGGACAGCAGGTAGTAGCCCAGGGACGGGGACATGTCGGGGGCAGCCCTGGCCTCCCCACCCGGGGCTCCATCCTCACCCATCCCGCAAAGCTGAGGGGAGTCCCCATAGCCCTGTGCAGATCACGCCAGACAATCAGGAGAGGGGCCAGTTCAATTGGATGGGGGCCCAGGGGGCCACAGGACCTCGTCAAAGGCACACACCTAATGGGGCTGAAGACACAAAGGTGGACGAGTGCCCTGAGCTGCCCCTCATTCCCAGGCCCTGCAGTCAAACTCAGACACAGAGGACTGGCAGGCCAAGCCCCCAGCAGACCAGGCAGAGGCATAGACGCAGTCAGGGACACACACAGAGGTGTACGCACCCAGGCACCCTAGTGGCTCTCTCCCTGTGCCCAGGGAGTGACTGACACCGGGTGAGCAGAGCGGGGTGGGTCCCTGGGGAGGGAGGTAAGTTCAGGGCCTCTGGACCCCAGGCAACACTGCTCAGCCCTGAAAGAAGGACACTGCGAGGAGTGGGGGTAAGACCCACGCCAGGTCCACACATGAGGGGGAAGATTGTGCCCCCCACGCCTGGGCTCATGAGGAGGCTGCCAGGGCCTCTTCCCGGCAGTGGCTCTGGCGTCCGTCTGACCTGCTGCTGGATGGCTGCCCAGTGGCTGCAGCGCGGCTAACGGGAACTTCTAGAGTGAGTCATCGCGCCCTGGTGGCTCACCTGGGCCCGCTGGCTGTGCGTGGTCTCCGAATGAGCCCAGGAATGTGTGTGCACTGAATGAGCCCAGGAATGTGTGTGCCCTGTGTGTATGTGTGCACGTGTGTGGGTCTCTGTCCTGGTGTGGGTGTTCATGCGTGCAGGCCTGAGTGTGTATGAGGCTGTCTCTGAGTGTATCCAATATCCCAGGTGGCCTGTGTCTGTGTCTTGGTGAGTCTGTGATCTTGTCTATGAGTGTGTTGCCTGCCTGGCCCTTCCGGTACAGCCTGGCCTCTTCCCACCCCGGGAAAAGGTGTCTGTGTGTGTGTGTGTGTGTGTGTGTGTGTATCTGTATGTGTGTCCGTGTGTGTGTGTGTGTGTCCCGCATCTGACCCACACCCGTGGACATTGCCAGGCAGCAACTCCTTGGTGGTGGTGGTCCTCTCCTGGGTCTCTTCCAGCCCTGCCTCCCCCCATAATCCCTGCAGAACTCCACTCCTTCTGGTGTGTGCCTAGCTCGGGTCTACACCAGGCCGGGTGTCACCAAACTATTAGAACTGCCTTGGGCCCCTGCCCTCCCTGTCCACACCACAGGTGTGCTGCCTCTGTGTGGTGCCCAAGCTCGATCCCAGGAAGGCTCCCACCCTCTGCACTCTGTCCTCACCAAGTCCGCTCTGCCCGAATATCCCGGGATCCTTTCACTCCCTCCCACACCACAGCCCTGGTTCCACTGCTCGTATTTCCAGTTGTGCCCCATGCCAACACCCCTAGCCACCTGTACAGTCTATCCTCAGCTCTCACCAAGCTCAGAGACCCTGCTTGGAGCCTTAGGTGGCACCTCCTACCCACAGGAGCCCCCTCAGCAGCCTTGCTCCCCTGCCCCCGCCCACTGGGCCTGACTTTCAACACCAGCCCTTTTGCCCCCATTCTCTGCACACACACTACTCTGTTCCCTCTCTCCAGAACATTCTTCCTACACTGCCTGGCTCATACCTCACCCCTAAGGTCACAGCTAACACTGCCAGGAGCCTTCCAGGACCCCCGTTCCCCCGCCCCCAGGGCAGTCCCGCCCTGCAGAACGCCTTATCCTTGCAGTCTTGCCTGTGTCTACACCAGACCTGGAGCCCCTGGGGCAGGGCCAGTAGGGTGCTGGTTGCCGCTGTGTCCTAGGCCCTAGGCTCTTGACTAGAATCAGTAGAAAGGATGACTCTGGGCGGGGTTCTGGCTCCAGGACGGCCCCCCAGCGCTGGGTGCTCCCGCACGCAGCGCCCACCCCGCAGCCCTGTCCGTGGCGCCCTGTTCCCGCTGCACGCTCTCAGCCGCGTTCTCGTGTCGGCCACCCCCAGCCCCTGCAGAATTCTGTCTTGTCCCTCTGCTGCCGGATCACTTCCTGGGGTGCCCGCGACCACTGTTGTCCCCGCAGGCTGCCCCCCACCCCAGCTTGTGACTAAAGCGTCTGTCTCCCCCGGAGTGGGAGGTGAAGACAGCGGCAAGTCCAGGAGCCTAGGTGCGGGGATCCTGAGGTCGCTCCCTGGCGGGAATCCAAAGTTAATTCTGTGGACGCGACAGGCGGGCCGGGGGCGCGGAGAGGGGCGGGGCCTGGCCGGGAGGGGCGGGGCCGCGGCGGCGGCAGCCAATGGGCTGAATGAGGCCGGCGGCACCGCCCGCGAGCGCGCTCCACAGTGGCCCGGCCGGGCTGGGCGGACCCGGGCGGGGTCCTAGCTGTGCTGCTGGGTATCCTGGCGCGCGGTGTCCGCAGTCTGAGGTCGGCCGCCCGCGGCAGCGCAGGGCAGCGGGGCAGAGCGCGGCTCCCGCCCGCCCGCCCGGTGCGCCGGAGCTGGGACCAGCGACTGGACGCGACGGGCCGGCAGGCCCGCACCGCCTGGCCGCCGCGATGTGCGACTGCTTCCACATGGTGCTGCCTACCTGGCCCGGAACCCCCGGCAGCGGTGCGCCCTCCCCGCCTGCAGCCAGCTCCCGTGGGGCGGGTGGGCTCCGCGCAAGGGCGCGCGCCGGGGCGTGTCCGGGGGCGCGCAGTGCGGGTTGTGGGGGCGGGGGACTCGGGGATGCCGGCTGGACTCGCGCGCTGTTCTGGGCCTCCCCGGCCGCTGGGGTCTCTTCTCCCGTGCCTCGCGTTCTACCTGTCCACGACTTTCGGTCCCTGCTCCTCTCCCGGCCTCTGGGGCTGTCTCAGCCGCTCACTTTGTTTCTCGGTGGCTGACTCGTCTCTGTCGCGCACTCCCTCTGTCACTCGCGGTCCCTGTCTATCTCTCCTTTTCGCTCCTGCCCCGCTGCTGGGACACTGTCTGGTCGAGAGGCGGCCTCCTGGGAGGTGCTACCGCGCTCTGGAGCGGGGCTGGTGTCTGCATGGGGCATGAAAGCCGGGGCCGCCGGGACACGGGGCACCTGCACCAGGCTTGCCCTCTCACCTGCTTTGGGGGAGAGCAGCCAGGCTGGTCCGGGAGTCTGGGCTATCCACTTTGGTCCGGGGCTTCTAGACAGGGTTGGGCAGCGTCTACTGTGTGGCTGTGTGGTGGGGTCGCTGGGTAGGTGGAGGCTGTGGCAGCGCTAGGCCTGAGGTCTGGGGCCTTGTGAGGGGCCTGAATGGGGTCAAAGTCAGGCCACAGGGTCCCTCAGTGCTGGGCAAGGGAAAGTGGGTGCTACCCACTGGCATGCCCCCAGGGATGGTCAGTAGCCTCCCTCTGAGCCGCAGGCTACGGAATGTGTACCTGCTGCTTTTTGTGTGTCTGTCCCTGCACTGGGCCTGGTTCCAGGGCCTGGGTGTCTCAGCATCTTGGAGGGCAGGGCTGGGGTGGGGGGGCAGTCCCTTAGGCTAGGTCTATGCTGCTGCAGGCTGACCACACCCAGGGCCTTGGCAGCCACCGGCCAGGGAGTTGGGCTGTGCCGGCACTGGCACAGGCTGGACCCCACTCCTTGGGGAAAACAGGTCAATGCTAATGGTGCCACGCTGCAGGCGCAGAGGGGTGCCCTTGGCCTGAGCATGCCCCCCAGCCGCAGCAGGCACTACCAAGGCCGCTCCTGTGGTCTGTTTATCTGGTGCACACTTAGGGTGGGAGACTTGTCTGAGGGACTCCGGAGCAGGGAGACCCCTACAGCGCCTGCTTCACGGTGTTGCAGAAGGGAGTCCAAGGTGTCTGGGCTCAGCAGCGGGAGGGTGATGGCCCCGGTGGGCTGGAGGCCCCCAGCCCCCTCCTCTTTCACTATGACTGGCCCTGCCCACATGGCTGCAGGTTGACCTCCTCAGAGGGAGAAGGGTGGGGCTCCAAGGCATGGGACCACTACCCTGCCCCCAGCTTCCCTGCACAGCCTTTCCTCTCCACTTCCTCCTCGCTCAGGGGCACCCAGAGACTCCCAAGTTGCAGGGTCCAGGACCACCTCATCCACCCCCTGCCTCCACAGAGGCCTGTGCTGGCTTCGTGGTTCCCAGCCTGTCTGAGGCAGTCCCTCCCTGCGTCCAGCCTACAGAACCATCTGCTCTTAGGGAATGAGGTCAGTGGCTCTCACTGGAGCTTTGGTAGGAGACTTACAAGATCAGAGCCCTTGGGAGTTCTGTCCAGCACGCCAGTTCCCAGACCCTCCCCAACCCTGCGGCCTGGGAATGTGCATTCCTGACAAGCACCCTGCCACCTACTGCCTTTCCCAGCCTGAATTTGGTTCAGGCCTTTTTCACCGGCAGTCCCCTCTCAGCAGGCTGGAGATGGGCGGACTCTCCCCTGCTCTAGTCTTCCTGTCCAGTTCAAACCTGCCCTCTGCCAGCCGCACCAGGCACCAGCCCAGCAGGGAGCCATCTCCTGGGCAGCTTTTGTGCCGAGGCTGCCCCCTGGTGGCCTTGCTGGGAACACCGCACGCAGCGCTGCGGACTGTAACACCAGCCCGTTCACTCCCAGCGGGCTCTGGGTGTCACACCCTTGCCTACTCCAGGGGCAGGTTGCCTCCTTCCCAGGGGCAGAGCTGGATCCCCGATAGCTGGGGAGACAGGGAACCCCTCCCCGGCCCTGGCCCCCACCCTACACCTGCTGCCCCTGGCTTGGCCTCAGCACCTCCCACAATGACACCCCAAGAAAGCACCACCGTGTTGGGAAGGCCCCAGGTGCAGTGACATCATGCGAAGATGTGTGGGTGGCCTCTCCTCTGGGATGGGGGTCATGAGATGGCTGGGCCCTTTCTCAAGAAGGGTGCAAAGCAGGGCAGCTGTGGAGGTGGTCTGCCTGTTCTGTGCCTTGCTGGTGCCTTCTTCAGGGCCTTGGGCTGCAAATGTGGGTCAGGACCTCACATTCGGAGACGGGAGTGATCGCAGCTGCCTGTGCTGCTAGCGCCATGCAGCCAGGGATGCCAAGTGACAGTGCGGGCGGGCCTGTCACCACCCTAGTGTTTCCCTGACTGGGTCGTCCACACTGAGGGAGGGCTGTATTCCCATTCTGCAGACAGGGACACTGAGGCTGGGGACCGTGAGGCAGTGACTGACTCCCTGGGCTTTTAGGGGCCAGAGCAGAATATCGCATGCTTTGGTCAGTGACATGCTGTTCTGACAGGTACTGGCTCTGCCCTGCCCCACCAGGCAGGGTGACTGCAGGCAAAGGAGCCCCTCTGTGGCCGCTAGTGGCAGGAATGGGCCCTGAGGAGGAGGCAGCAGAGGGCATCCTGGAGTGCCCTCCAATGAGGTGGCCTCTCAGAAGCCACCAACAGTGATGTTGTAAGTGTGTTCCTAACAACCCCAGCACTTTCCCTGGTGGGGAAACGGAAGCTGAACCACCAGGGAGGGAGGCTGGGCTGCCTGCTGGCCTCTGGCTCCTGCCCCAAACCTCAGGAGTGCCCACCTGATGCAGCTCAGGGAAGGGGGTGGGGCTCAGAAGTAGACAGGAGGGTCAAGCCCACAGAGCCTCCAGTTCCAATGCCCCGGGAGCCCCCTCCCTCCTGGCCTTCTCCATGCCCAGGAAGCTGAGTGCCCACCCCCATCTGGGCTCATCGTGGCTGGGCCTGCAGCAGGAATGCCCTCATTGCCTTCTCTCCATTTGGCCAACCTCTTCTGTCCTGGGCTGGGCTAGGAGCTGCCTCTTCTGGGAAGCCCCCTGGGTTGCTGGGCTCACTCCCAGCTCTCCCTTAGACTCTGGCTCCCTCTGTGTCCTTCTCTTGTGACACCTATGCTGAAAGCCTCTGTGTTTCAGGCTCAGCTGGGGGCTGGCTTGGCCAGGTGTGGAGAAGTATAGGTGCTGGGGAGGAAAGGCCCCCAAACCCCAGCAAGTGGGGGGCACTGCCATCTGGGGGTCCCTGCCACCCACTTCAGGAGTAGAATGACACATTCTCCCAGCTTGGTCTTCTGGCTGGCAGAGGCCCACCCTGCGCTCAAGGCTGGTGTGAGCTGTGGGAGTGCTTCCCGTCTGGCTGGCTACCTGTTCACCCATCCTTCTGGGCCTCAAAGCCACCCCGGGAGCCCTGGGACCTGGGAGGTCATACCTCGGCAGAGCAAGGATCCACTCGTTGCTCATTCAACAAACGTGAACCCTATTTTTGTGGCCAGTGCAGCCGCAGGGGGCACAGAAGGGCCAGAGAGGGCTCCCTGGAGGAAAACTGGCCCAAATGGAGACTGGGACTGGTCATGAAAAAGAAGCAGAGGCAGAGCAGGAGGAGCTTGCAGAGGCTGAGGGCGAAGGCAGGGACCTGCAAGGTGTTCAACCCAGTGCATCTGGGACGGGTGGGGTGAGGATGGAGAGGTGGCAGTGCCAGCTGCTGGAGGGAGGGCTTTGTCCTGAGGGCACCGGGCAGCCCCATAGGTCTTAGGGCAGTTTTGGCAGGAAGGAAGCTGCTCCATGGGGGCTATGGAGGCCAGGTAGCCTGGAGGGAGCTTAGCGGAGTCTTAACTGGACACACAGGGAGGACGGGCCATACCCCTCTGCTCCTCTCCATCCCCTCTAAGGGTGATGGGATCCCCGGCCATGCTGTGAGCTTCGAGGGTGTCTCCACCAGGCCCCACCTGCATTCAGTCTGAGCCTCCAGATTTCCCTTTATTTTTCTTTTTTTGGAAGCCATAGCCTGGCCAGGAGCCAAGGACTTCCTTGCTCGGATAAATATTTAATAGTCAGAAGCACTTTCTAAAATGGAAACGTGGAGCCGGGCCCAGGAGGCAGGGGGTAGGGAGGGGCTGGGGCGGGAGGCGGTGATCCCCCATCCCTGCACCTACCAGAGGCCCACAGAGTTATTTGCAGCCACCGCCCTCCCCTCCGGCTGCCAGTCCCTGCCCTGCCAGCTGTGCTGCGCAGACTTGGACTTGCTGACCCCGTGTGTGCTTGTGAGGGTGGGAGTGGCATCGGGGCCTCCTCTCTGCAGAGCTCTTGGGAGGGACTCCTTCCCGCAGGGGTGGCGGTGGTGGGACGGTAGGCAATTGCACAGGCTGTTCCGGGTAGGAGTCCGGAAAGGGATCTCAAGCCACACCCCTGCCTGGACGCTGCAAAGGGTATAGCCAAGCAGGGGCATCTGGGGATTCCCGGGACGCGGCAGGGGCGGGACACTTTGGGGAGCCTCACTGGGCTATGTCCGTGTGAGCCCTGCCAGCTGGAGGGGCTGTCAGATGACGGCGTGTGGGTGGGCAGGAGGCCCCATGACTCAGCCCCACTGGGTGGAGTTAAGGCCCCCTTGTTTAGGGCTCCAGCCCTCGGTCCTCGGCCTGCTCCTGCTGCCTGGCAGGCCTGGCTCCTGAATAAGCCAGTACCGTCGGCTCCTTGGTGACACATGCCCTGAGAATGCAGAGCTTCATGCCTTGGCCTCCTCCTGGCTGATTCACCATCCGCTGCCCTCGGCCCTGCCTGGCCCCCGCCAGCAGCCGAGTTCCCACGGCGACCCCTAGCTGATCCTGGGTCCTAACAGCTCTGAGCCGGGACTAGCTGTCCAGTGCACATCACCGGACATGCCGGATCTCAGGGTCCGTGATGTG